GGGCTTTTGCAAGTTAGATCTATAGTGTTGCTGATTTTTCACACAGGGGGAGGAGCAAGTGAAGAGATTCTGTCAAGAAATTCTCAAGGCCCAAATCAAAGGCGCATTGTCGAGACAGGTATAAATGAAGCTGAAGAACAACACAGTGAGGAGATGCATTTTTAATTAGATAAGAAATTAATGAATTTTTAATTTTTTATAAAATTTACAAACAAACAGAGATGTTAGGTTTAAATAAAATATTATAAATTATGATGTAATTGAATTCAATTATATTAGATTTTAATAAGTAATTTTATAATTATATTAAATATTAAATATTGTCTATGAAAGCTACAACAAGTTTCAAAATAAAACTTTTAGTTTTTTATATGAAATTACTGTAGATTTATTGTGATTTTTTACAATTTTTGAAAAAAGTAATCCAAAAAAAATTAACAAATACATATCTATTACAAAGCACTATACGGGCTACGAGAAAAGGCTTCTAACTGCAATCTTAAATGTACCCTAAGTAACTGTTAATGCAGCATTTACTTCATATTTATTCAGTAAGGAACGAGAATACAGAAGATATGTTGTTTGATAAAGGGAAAACCAGCACAAGCAATGTTGAACTCCGAGAGGTAACATTATTCAAATTTGTGGAATTGGCAACCTCAACAAACAACTTTAATACGACAAATCTGCTAGGACAGGGAGGTTTTGGTCCCGTATACAGGGTAAATGTTAGTTTCTAGCTGCATAGTTTTGATATATAGTATGTCAAATGAAATGAAATCTTTACTAACCTTTTTTTTCTTTTCTAGGGAACATTGCAAAATGGACAGGAAATAGCGGTAAAGAGACTGTCAAGGGCATCAGGGCAAGGGGTAGACGAATTTAAGAACGAAGTGTTGGTCATCTCCAGTCTCCAACACCGAAATCTTGTAAAACTCCTAGGATGTTGCGTTGAGGGAGAAGAGAAGATTTTGGTCTACGAGTACATGCCAAACAACAGCCTGGACACATATTTGTTTGGTTAGAGCATGATTCATTCTCCTTTTCTTTTTTGGTTATACAATGCAAATAAGGTCATGTAAAAAAAAAATTAAAATTAAAAAAAAATCCAAAATCAAAATCAAAATCAAAATCAAAATCGCAATTAGGGGCCAAAGTAGAACAGTATAAGGATTGTTTTCAATGTCTGTAACATTCATTTCTGATGATAATGATCCTTACTCTTTTTCTTCTATTTTTAACATTTCCTTCCATCTTCCATATAGATTTGCTCAAGAAAGAACTCCTAGATTGGAGGAAACGTTTCAACATTATTGAAGGAATAAGTCAAGGTCTCCTTTATTTACACCGACATTCTAGACTGCGGATTATTCATAGAGATTTAAAAGCAAGTAACATATTACTAGATGAAAAGTTACAACCAAAAATTTCAGATTTTGGGTTGGCGAGGATTTTTGGAGACAATGAAGATCAAGCCAATACCAAAAGGATTGTTGGAACATAGTAAGTAGACATTTCTCACACCAAAACACTTCTCAAACCAATAACATCACCATAAATGCTTGAACAATAATGGTTTTCGTTTGATGTTTAATGTAGTGGCTATATGCCTCCTGAATATGCGATGGAAGGACTATTTTCAGAGAAATCTGACGTATATAGCTATGGTGTTTTACTGTTAGAGATTGTAAGTGGGAAAAGAAACAACGGTTTTGACCATGATGAACATTTAAGCCTTGTGGGATATGTAAGTTAAGCTCTTGCCTTCATCACCCTTATGTTTAATTGGCCCTTCTTTCCCGCCCATTTTAAAGCTAACCTTTGCCCTTTCCAGGCTTGGAAATTGTGGAATGAAGGCAACATTTTGGCTTTGGTTGATAACATGGTCGCTGATCCATCTCATGATGAAGAGGTTCTAAGGTGCATATATGTGGGATTGCTGTGCGTGCAAGAATTTGCGAAAGATAGACCTAACATGTCCACAGTCATTTCAATGCTTAACAGTGAAATTGTGGATCTTCCTCGTCCAAAACAACCTGCTTTCATTCTAAAACAGAACAATGCATCAGATGCAGAGTCCTCTGCACAGCATGATCAACAGAGATGCTCTCTGAACTATGTGACTCAATCAACGGTCCAAGGACGATAAGAGAAAGTTCTTCATGTTAGAATATCAGTATTTATTTTAGAATATTATATTCATATTATCATTAATTATATACATTTAAGTTAATTAGTTTTATACCTAAAAATATTCTTAGGTATAAAATTATACAATAGACCTTGGAATTAATTCTATACATTGTATAATTTTATACCTAAGAATATCTATTGTATAGATCAATATATAAAACCCTTGTATATACAATAAAAACAAGAAAACAAGAAAGCAATAAACCTTTCTTCAAATTATTCTTCTTCTTTTCTGTTTCTAATATTCTTCTTCTTTACTGTTTCCAACACTTCATATGATTAGTTCTTGCTGCAAAGAAATTTATCTTTGGTTGTAGTCAATAATTTGTAATTTTTAACCAAAATGTTATGCTTTCCGGGGAAAAAAGAAACCTAAAATGTTAAACTTCAAAACCTGTTTTATTGCATCGAATTCATTAGCTTGACCATTTTCAACTTCTAACTCTCTGGTTTTAACAAAACTTTTAAATATTTTAGACCTGGACTCTCACAAACCAAGTGTCAAGGTAAAATTGAAATTGAAATTGAAATTGAAATTAGAGATCCAGACTGCGTCGGGCTAAACTAAAAATAAAATAGCATTTGATTGAAAATCAGAAATTCAAATTGAATGGCAGATCTGAATGGTACAAAACAAATTGAAAGTGAAATTAGCAAATTGATTGAAGAAATTACCGTAGGTCGCTGAAAACGGAGAGACCTCCAGAGCGTTTGGCTGAAAGTGGCAACCTTTTCTACTAAATGTTCTGAGCTGAAGGTTGAAGATGATGGAGAGATATCTCAAAGAACGGAGGGAGTGAAGGACGAAGGTGGCGACGAGAGGACGGTGATCTGAGGTTCTAAAGAGAGAGATAGAATAAAGGAGCGAGGTGATATGAGGTTCGACAGAGAGTAATCGCAAAACTGAGTGAGAGGTGATCTGAACTTCGATCGAGGAGGGTGATCTACCCTTTTTGCCAATGCGCTTCCTTTTTTTTTTTTTTTGGTAGAACCCAATGCGCTTCTTCAAACGGCATGTTTCTAAATATAGAGTATAGAGCCGGTCAACTTGGGACCACGTCATCAGGCCATTCCGTTTTTTTTTTTCTCTTAATAGATTTATTTTAGATTTTTAATTTTTAAATATAATATTATTTTATTATTTTGTCATTTAGGAAAACGAACTTTATTGTTTTTAATTAATGTTATTTTTTATTTGAAAATACTAATTTTGTTATTTTTTATATTTAAAAATATCAATTATATATGTTTTTATTTAAAAATATTAATTTTATATTTGTTATATTAGTATTATTATTTAATTAATTTTTAAATAAAAATATAAAATTAATATCCTTAAATTAATAAAAAAATAAAAATTTACCACTTTAATAAGAATCAACAAAGTTCATAAATTTAAATAAAAAAAATTACAAAATTAACATTCCCTTTTCTCTAAAACAAAGCAAAGCAATTTGTCACTCTCTTACTCCATTCATCCAAAACGGAAAAGCCAGTTGCTTTATTCTTTTTTTTTGGTTTTTTGGTGAACCACTGGTGCTTTATTCAACCACTGGCATCAGTACAGATGGAGCAACGAAGGTGTTAAAGTAATAAGGCTACGCACTAAAATATTAGGGTCTGGAGTGATCCCAAAAAAAATATTATTTAAAATTAAAATTTTAATTATTTTAAAAATCAATAATTCACACGCACTATTTTTTTTTTGAATATATTTGCAAGGATCGAGTTTCAAACCCAATTCAAAAAGAGAAAATGCACCGAGATGACTATTACTATTAGGCCGCAAGGCCAAGTGCCACACGCACTATTTTTATATTTGATTATTTATAAAAAAAAAATCAATAATATTTATGTAACCTGAACCGTGGGCGACGTTGGTGGGAAACGTTGACGCAAAGTCAATGGTAATCCCATAGCAGTCGGCATCGAACCCAACTGTTCCTCATAATGGTGTCGGCCTGGGTCTCGACAAATAGTTGTCAAAAATACGGTACGCCACTATAGATAAACTCTTTATTATTAGAGCAATGCTAGGGGCACTCGCCTCCTGCACTCTCCGGCCAACACTTTCTCTTTTATTGGGCCACGTTATTTTGGTTCCCGAGAAGTTGAGTCTGAAAGCTTTAAAGAAGCTTTCGTGGCCCAATGAAAGGGGAAGTGTTGGCCAGAGAGGGCAAAAAGCGAGTGCCCCTAGCACTGCTCTTATTATTATAGTAATTGTCAGTCCTTACACCTTTGTGTTTTGAGCATTAACACTGGCGGAGTGCTAGGGGCATTCGCCTCCTGCACTCTCCGGCCAACACTTTCACTTTTATTGGGCCACGTTATTCCGGTGGGTAAGAGGTTGCACTTCAAAGCATGAAACAGGCTTACGTGGCCCAATGAAAGCGGAAGTGTTGGCCGGAGAGTGCAAGAGGCGAGTGCCCCTAGCATTGCTCTTAACAATTTGTTAACAGTTGCAGCGAGTTCTCGTGATTTCCTTGATTGAGAGTATGACATACACGATTACGGAACGTTTAGGGGATGTTTTAGTTAGAAAATCACTTTATTTAAAATTTTTTTATTAAAAGATGATAAAAAAATATATT